ATAATTAATTCTTTATGTTATTGTCATTAAGTGGGTAATGAATCACAAAACAAATAATCAAAATATTTCAGAGGTGAGGGCACCAAATGTGTTTTTGCCCCCTGGGTGCTGAGAACCCTTGCTACACCAATGAACCAGAGGAAATACAGTCAGTCAACAGCATCTACTGCCATAAGGGCTTTTTCTGTCTTTGAACCAAAAATAACTTTCTACTGACTGTCACTTTTATAATGCAACTCACATCTCAAATGCAGTTGATGTACATCAGCATTAAGAAACACCAGATTGGTAAATAATTGTAACTTACCTCTCTGGACTCTTGAATAACATCCCTGACAGACATGGTCATAGCTTCTTCAACCTGAAATTAAAGTGCAACATAAATCCTGGATAAACTGGCATTATCAATTTAAATGTTAATTATTATAACTACATTCAAATGAGTGATAAAATTACAGCTAATTTATATTCATAATACAAAAACAAAGCATAAACATATTAGCTTTTCTGGGAAATATATATTTAAAAGAAAAATGCCTCTCAGTCCAATAAGCATACATTCAAAAATGCTCAGTAATAAAAGCACATTAGTGGTATTAGCTCCTTAATATAAGTGAAATAGGATCTGAAGAAAGCTTCAGTATAGACTGCAACTGTCTTTCAAAACACAGATGCAGGCCATTAAATTTCTTAGACATAATTTAACCCTTTGGATGCTATAATCGGATTTAGTCAACTTGACACCCATAGCCATTTGGTGCGACAATCAGAATTTACCACATGGTGTCACAAAATCCTTTCCTCACAGTGCAACAATTACGATACTCATATGTCTTTAAATTTCCTGCCTTAGTATCGCGTGTGCATACATCACTGAGCAAAAGTGCAACTAGTGGATTTTGAAATTGAAAAAGTATTAAAAAGTTCAAGTTCTAAATTTCATTTGTTAATGGATAAATTACACTTTTCAAGAACCTTCCTGAAATATAATTTTGCACTTTAAATGGTTAAAGACCTCATCATTCAATACAACTTTGATGTAACATTATACAAGTTTGACTATTGATTTTTATTTTTACAATATCTCCATCTGATGATTTGATCTGTCATTATATGGACTCATCACTTAATAGTACTATGAACTTGGTTAACTTAAAAATTTTTCTTACCACCAAAAAATACTGTAAGTTTAAATTATCAGATCTGAAGAGGGAAACCACATCACTTCTGAGCCAGGTATACTCTTTGCCCATGTGTTGAATGTGTAAGATATCTGAGTGGAAAATGAGAGGAGCACATCTGAGTGGGAGAGAATGTGGTAAGAAAACGATTCTAACCATATAAAGATATTGTAACTCAATCCCACAATGAGAAAAGTCGGTAAACAACGACGCCCTTCTGGATGTAGAGTGGCTATGGCACGGTGGACCATATTCAGTAAGTCAAATACATCCAAAACCTCCTCACAGGGTACCAACATCTGCATGAGGGTAGGATGAAGATCATACCCTCTTCATCTCAAACCCAAGAACCAGGGAATTGAGAACCACTCCAATTCATGGGTATGACACAAGGGAACTTGACATCTGGTATCGAAACGACGTGTATTGTATGCAATCAACTCCTCCAACCATGAAACAGGATGGGACCTTCCAAATGGCAATAATATCCTCGTAAGAAAGAGAGAATGAGGGATAGCCAAGGTCAGAACTGGAACAATCCCACATACCACCACTGTGACCCACTACACAGACAGTGAAAATTGAGGGAGGAAGATAGACAATCCGAAGCCTGTGTGAGGACTTAGGAGTACTGATATACATGCGACGGTAGGATAAGGGCTCCCAATCGAAGGGGTGAAGTATATTTTCAATTGCTCAGCTCCAGTGGTTGTGTAAATGTATCAGGAGACCACATCATCCACAAGGTGATGGCTCAACTCTTCTGAAGGCCACATCTCATCTACATCAGCAGAACATCACCACCCTACTTTCGACTGAATGATTATAGCTATCTTTTTGTGGAACCCAATAAGGAGGGTGCCTCCACAGTTAACCACCCCAACAGCTTGAAAATGGAAAGTGGTAAGGACTCCCACACTCCACTCCAAAAAAAGGAGGGTGAATAAGCAGTGGAGATTCCAGAGGAATGTCATCACCAGAGACAGTGCAATGAGTGACCATGAAACCCTATTTTGAAAAACACCCCAGTAAAGAATAACAAAAAAAAAACGTCTGAGTACAGGCATTGCCAAATGAGAAGTGATAGTTTAGTAGAGCTGCATAGAGGGAGTCACGTGAGTGTACAATGCTCCTACTGGTGGATAGGTGATGCAGGACTTAGATGAGAGACACACTGGAATCATTTGATTCCAATAGAGGGGAGCAGAAGGCTTGTGTCATGTGTAAATAAAAAGTTCACATATAGAGGGCAGCAATGAACGAGAATAGCTAATCATATATAAATAAAGTTCTGGCACAATCCTACCTGAAACAACCACTTTTCCACCTGACCTTTAGCCTCAGCTGTTGATATTGGTATACTAAACTGGACTCGTTCATTTTCACTACTGAACATAGCTTGGATGTCTAAATGGCTGTCAAATTCTAACCGTGCTATTCCCTCAAAACATTTCTTCAAATGAGGCTGGACACGAAGGGGGTCTTTGGTCTCAGACAAAATTTCCAACATTTCATCATTAGAAAGAAAGAAAAACCTGCACAAACAACAACAGCTTTTGTTCATGTTATAACACTAACATTTAAAAAAAAACAATATCTAATAACTTGGGTATTTATGGAAGGTAGACCATCCAAAAAGTCTCCCATCTGAAAACCCTCAGTGATTTATCTTTTAATTTTATATAACTTATTTGTATTATGAATACTAAAACCTTGTTGTTTTATTTAATTATGCCAATCTGGTACCAATGATCATAAAAAACTTCAGAACATATCAACACAATTGTAATAAACTTCAAATCAAAAGCAAGTAGGTGAATCATTATTACCATTATTTTCATATATTAGTGCCTGTCTCCAGACTCATACCTGATGAGCTAATCTATATTTTACAAGATTTAAATATAAGAGTATGTTAAACAAAAAAAAATTTAAATATTTTGTATGGTACAGTAAAACATATAAAACCACTGTGTACAGACATACAATTAGGTACACTTTCAGTATCATATATGCAAAATGGCAATATAAAAGTCATCTCAAAATAGACAAATATCAAACCTTGGAAAAAAGAGACGTTTTTTTTCTAAGTATGTGTTTAGTCCTTTGTTGATCCTATCCAAGAGGCCAATGGTTTCCTGCAGTCTCTGAAGTAAATCACCCGAACCAGTAGCTTGTAAAACCTGCACACACAATAATTCACCTCAGTATTGGATTCTCTAAAAATAGTAACTTCAAAACACAATGTCTGTGAATAAGAATGAAATACATCTAAATCATTTACAGTTTAATTTGTACAGGTCTAAATAGTTGATATAGATATAAAGCTAAATATAGTTCTTACTATAGAATTGTGCAAGATACTGCACCTTTTAAAACCTCAGCAAAAGTAATGGTTTTCACGTATCTAAACATACAATAAAGAAAATAAAGGTTTACATACCATACTGAATAGAATAATCTTCTCATAGCACAAATCCAGATATATATATATATATAGTTTAGTAGGTTGACAATAAGTTCAGGGCTTATGTTACTGAAAGTATTACCTTATTCAAAAGATGCTTTAGTAGTACAATGTTATGATTCATTAATGGTCATGTATAGTGCTGAGAAACAGCTTTAATCCTGTAGAGACAGGTAGGTCAAAGTGGACAACCTTTTTTACAGAGTTACATTCAAACTGTAATTAAACTAATTTACTATTGTTGTACGTCCATAAACTCAGAATCAAAATATTTTGTATTTTTTAATTATAATAATATATAAGTTGTAATTTATTAAATTCAAAAGGAAATATTGTATTAAGTTTTCATTCTTCACTTTTATATATCACATAACACTGTTTTGGTACATGCTATCTTTAAAAAGTTCAAATAATTCTGACATATGTTATTATTTGTAATTATTATTAATTTACTCTTATTTATAAAGAGAAGATTTTAATGTACTGCTTTTCTTATGAGGTTAGCTCATTCTCATGACTGATTTTGAGTTATTCTGTATCAGTTTCATTGTTTGCCATTGTGCAGTTCACTTCAACCAGATAAGGAAAATATTTTAATGCAGATAATACTTAGTTAGAAAGATAGCTAAATTATGATAATTATAGGTCATATTTTTGTGTTGTGTGCTAACATTTTGTGTTCTAACTTGTATATTTGAAATAAATAAAAAGTAAGTAAAGTACTAATAACATCCCTACAAAAAAATAAGGCTAACTTTCATCCAGACTTAGAGAGAGAGAGAGAAAAAAATTACAAGACCCACACACAAATATCCTAAATGTCTTGTTTTTTAAAGTATATTTTTATTTGTTGTTATAAAAATATCTAATATGTAAAAATTAGGAACTTATTAGCTAAGGTAAGAAAACTTAAATGAAAGAAAGTAAATAATAAAAATGAATACATGATAACACAAGCAAGTCTGGCAAGTGCAGCATGTTGTAATCTGATCCAAAACACCTTAGGTGTGAAAAAAAATGTGTGGCTGAAAAAGGATTGAGTGTGCAACTTAAAGGAATGAAACCAAAATTGGCAGCCAAACTGGTAGCTACACTTATCAATCATTATTATTTATGCTAATTGCTTAAGCTAATGTTACATGATGCTAAATGTTCTTTAATTAGGATAATTTCATAAAATTTAGTACACCTGTGCTGAAAAGATGGCAATGAATAATAACTGTCCACATGCTTGAAAACTTGAGTTGGAAACTGCTAATTTCATTTGCTTGGCATAACTAATACTATGTATCTGCACGTCCTTTCACCTTATAGTTTTACTGCTTTAAATCAGCCATCTTTAATCCGAATGACAAAAAACTAAAAACAGTCCACTTTTACTTTTAGATGAAGCTGTAGTAAAAATGTTAGACCGATAGTTCACATGACTTTTTGTATAGGCATGCTCAAAAATCTTTGTCAAATTTGAGTGGTTTTTGTGGAATACTTTCGGGTATTTCTTAATGGACTGCCTTGAAATTTGGTATGTGAAGTAAGAGTCCAGTAGAGCACATCTACTGAAAATATGGGATAGTTTGGATTACAAAAGTCTGAGATACAGAAGGTGGAAAATCGCTAAACTATCACTCCTGTTAATAACACAGTATGTCCTGCAGCAGGTTGTTTTGGCAGCATGACACACTACTGTCCTGGTAACTTAACAATGTGTTTAAATAGAGCTTCCTATTGTGAAAATTCACTTTGACACTAATGTAAGTGGCAGTAAAGTAATAAATATATGTAAATGGGGAGATTTCAATTGTATTAGATTTGACTGCATGAATGAATAATGTGTAATTATTTGTGACAACATGCAGTTATTCTAGAAATAAAAAGAGTAATATAAATGTATCTTGTATTTCTTTGTGATGATTGCAAGGTTGGTCAAATGGACTGAGCCTGTATACAGTGTTACAGTGGAGAAAATAACAGTCAAAATATAGTTTCACTAAATAAACTTTTGATATTAATTTAATAAGTTTTAGGGGTTATGCACATGAAATCTGAAAACTTTAGAATGTAAAATAGTTTTTTATTTTAACATAAAAAATCACCTTGTAATCAGACTAATCAGAGTCTGATTCAGACACTGACTCCATAAATGTGCAGACAAATCTTTAGTAAAATACTTAATTGAAAAAAAATGTCATTCTGTGTACAAAAGACTTGTAATATTTACTAAAAGTTTGCCAAATTTTGTGAAGTTACATTTACTACATTAAAAGTTATAATATGTATAATATCCTGATTATATGGTATTTGCAAGGTTAATCAAAATTAACAAGCCAATTTAGAGAGGATTAATACAGCAAAGGTAAATAGAAACCTACACTATTATCCTGGACCACTGCCTTCATTACTTCTTTCCATCCTCGATCCACAGTTTGGAAAAGTCTACCTTCTTCTGGCATTTGTTGCATGATGTCTGCTGATGAGAATATGGGCTCTAAATAAAGCCACTGTGCCTGTACTTTCAACCATTCATCAATGGTTTCTTGAGTTCTTATCAGCTTGTTCTCCCATTCCTGAAGAAATAAGAAGAAGAAGAAGACAACAGACCAATATGCACATTTTATTTAAATACACATCTCAGTAAACGTTCAGTAGGAAAAAATAATTTAATACTATTTATCTAGACAACTAAATCTAGCACTCAAACGTTTTTTGCCTTGAGGTTGAATAAATTAAAACATGAAAAATATTTACTCATACTTGAAAACAAATCTTATACCATAAGCAAACAAGTTCTGCAATTTTGAGTTAAATGAGCCCAACTAAGATTATAGATACAGAAGGCATTACTAGATGCTTAAAAGACTCAGGGCTCAGGCCCTGATATACAGGAATTTTCAGTGTTTTAGCATGATATCAATCATGGTTTTCTATTCTGATTTTTCAAGATTTTGGGGATTTCAAGGCATTTTCAAATAGAATAAAACAAATAAGCTTATACAACTAATGTACTGGAGATATGTAGAGGGGGTTAGTCTTTGACAGATGATTTAGGCTGCATGTAAGATAATGGGCAATAGCATTTCAGGCTTCCACAACTCATTTTCAGTATCAAGACAGTTAGTGTATGTGACACAACAATGTATACCCACTGATGAGCATGTGATTGTTATCAAATGCTTGCTGGAGAAAACCAAATGTCAACAGAGATACAGGTTTAGAAGTTAGACGCCTTTGTAGTTATATTCTTCACTAAAAGCTTTACTATCAAGTCTTCCCTTACAGTACTATATTAATAGATACATTTTCAGAAAATTAAAGGAGCCCTACTCCAGTAAGCTGTCACTGAGTTTTGCATTGTTGTGACATCATGAGAATGGAACTTTCACTGGGGATACATTTTGTGGTGAAATATATGCTAACCATCTTGATACCACCAGACCCAAAAATGGTTTATGGGATTTAACTGAAAAGTCATCAATCACTGGCTCTCACATCCTAAAGATTCAGTGCTTCTAAGGAGGCTGGAAGTCTACATTCAACCTTTCTTAAACAGGATTTAATTTATTTAGGCATGTATATCAGTAATGGTGGCTTCTTGCTATTGAAGATGCCTACAGTCAAGTGGAGACTAGGAGTATTGAACACTTTCATATAAAGGATATTAGTTATGCTGAACATCAGGTGCTTTCAGTTGAAATTTGTCAAATGGAGATTTGAAATCAGCTTGCCATAATAATCCCTACTAAGTCCTTTTCTTTTCAACATATACACAGCTGATCTGGTCAGTGCACTGCAAGGCTCCAGAATGACACCAAGTACATGTGTTAATGAAATAATTGTTGCAGATCTCTCACTCTCTCTCACACACACACACACACCAATAAAAGTGATGAAGGGTTTGCAAGAAGTAAGAAGCAAAAGCTTCTGTCAGTTGATTACAGATAAAGAAAATTTACATACAACCAGATAATACCTGTTGGATGTTAACTACCAGATCTCACAGATACTCCTTTCTCATTACACTGGTATATACAAATAAGAAAAGTCCACATAAGAATCTGTCATTTTCAGATTGACCATATCTGCACTTGATCATCTGAGAGAGAAATCAGTGAAAAGTTTACCCTTCCAAAACATGTTGCAGCCAAGAAAGTGCAGCAAAGAAGCCTCATCAATCTGATGAGAGCAATAGTTTTCCCCAAAATATAGTATGGTATCCATTTGTATGCCTTAAATGGCAAAGTTAGGAATTTCCAAGTTACAGACGGTGCAGAATGAAGCCATGAGAGTAGCAATAAAGCCAGCCCAACCAACACTCTGTGACACCATACATTTTTTTGGCTTGCTTGGTTTGCACACCATTACTACGAGATAGAGGATTATAGCCTGAACACTAATGCTATTCAGAGCAACCACAACCTTATCTCACCCACTATATCAGCAATTGATAGAGAGGGCAGAGAAAGCAGTGATACAGGAACTTAAATCAGTCAAGTCATGAGTCAGTGAGGCCAGCCCCCAGTGATACAGCGGTACATCTGTGGAGCAACAATGCTAGGAACCAGGTTCGATACCCATGGTGGGCAGAGCATAGATAGCCCATTGTCTAGCTTTGTGCTTAAACTACAAACAAACAATGAGGCCAAACAAATGTAGAGGAGGAATGTCCACTGAAAAACATTAAGAGTATAGAGTGGGTTGAGGCAGATGGATTAAGTTTTAAACACAATGAATATGAGCAGGAGGATATGGAAGGAAAGGTGAAGATTAGTCAAAACAGATGAAGTCATAGAATAAACATACAAACAGAGACTGAAGTTGATTATATCCATGAATCGCTCAGTCAGGAAGATGTGACTGTAAGGGTAGGAGCTGTGCAAAAAGACAGACATCTGGTTTTTTAATAGCCAGTGACAAAAACTGGGTGATCTAGTTAATTCAGAGCAGAACGTGAAACACAAAAGGATGAATTTGTTTGGTTGATCAGTAACAGTAATGATCAAGACTGGATCATACTCATGACAGATTCTCTAAACCTTATCACAAAATTGGAGAAAGGTTTTGTCAAAAGATCATGGGTAAAAGCTTTGAAAACTCATCTTAAAATGAGCTATATTAAAAACCACAGTAGTATAACATTCAAAGAAAAAATGGACCACATAGCTAGTGAGGTAGAACCTATGAAGGACCTGTTAATGATGTCGACACCAAAATGACACGTAGAATAAAGGGACAGGAAATTATGGAACATAGAAGACTGAAGGGTGGAAGTGCAATAGCGAAGCAAACATGAAATCATATGAGGAGGGCAGATGCTACTTAAATCAAGTTAAGTTCAGCATAATAACTAGAATCTCCAGAATATTACTGAAGAAAAAGAGCTTGTGGCATGGCCAGTGCCAAACTCCATAAACAAAAAAATAGTAACAGAAGTAATATTAAAATCATCTTATTTAAATTGGGTACTTGATGTTAAAATTAATTACAAAAAAGGTGATACACGATAATTAATAACAATAGGATATAATGTAAAAGTGGTTGCTTGCAGAATGTCTCCCTCTGATCAGAGAGTTGGAATTAGGGGTGGTACAACCCTACTTAGCCTGCACACTAACAAACATACTGCAAGCAGACTCCAAAAATGAAGAAAGGAAAGCCCATGCTTTGGCTGGTGTTAAAATCCTTTTATATGTAAATAAAGAAACAGAAATAAAAAATGGCTGCGAGGTAAGAGAGCTTGAATTCAGAAATTTGTGCAGGCAGCACACTCACTGGCTTCAGAATAGAAGAGAAAATCATAATTGATTGTACATGAGACAGCTTGATGTTAATTTTGTGCAAACAAACACACTTCAGTGCAAAAATGAGCAAGTATGTTTCATATTTAAATAGATGCACTAACAGTTTTAGTGTACTTAACCACATAAATATTACATGTTACATACAATTTGTTTATTTGTTTTGGGATATTTGGGCAAGCTACTCAAGGGTTATATGTACTAGTTGTCCCTAATTTCAAACTGGCAGCTAGTAAACAGCATCCACTGCCAACTCTTGGGCTACTCTGGTTTGACTGAAAAGGGGGATTTGATCATCACCATTATAATGCACCCACAGCTCCAAACATGAATTGAAATTTCTTTTGTGTGTGTGTAGTAATTGGATGCAAATGATGGACCTACAGATCTATATCCCAACATGCTAAATGCTAGGCCATGCTTGGCTATGTTACACAAAAACTTGGAAAACAATTATACCATACTATATTCTTCATTTAATACAAAAGAACAAAAATAACAATGAAAACAACTAATATTTTTGTTGAACTGTTACAAGCTTGAAAATAATATAACAATACAATATACTATATATGAATGCAAAGTCACTGTTTCAGATTTTTCTTGATTAAGTAAAAATATTACCACAATGAAAACTCTAAACTTCTGATTATATAGTACATAAACATATTTGAAAACGTAAAGAAAGTTAATAGAAAAACATAAACGCAAACTTACAGAGACACAAAAATTTAATATAAGTGTAAATTTATTATATCCACATGTTGAAAAAAGATTTTGAAAAAGGTTTAAAATAATTTTTTTAAACAGAATGACACTTTCTCCTTCAAAATATATGTCAATCACATTTCTTACTTTAATTTCTTCTTCAAATGGTTTGATAAAAGGTGATCCTCTAATGGTCTGTGTTTTAACAATATGATCATCCAAAACAGATTGGATTTCATCAGCAGATGCTAAAATGTGGACATCAGTGTCTCGATAGATAGTAGTGTTGAAATAAATGCTGTCCCACTCACCCATCATCCTACTCACAGCTTTCTCCAAGAAATATTCCTACTCATAAGATACATAAAGACTGCATTAGTTACTAACTTTAATAACAGGAAAAACAAGATGTATAAAAACATTTTTACTTAGCAATTCTTTTATGTAGGCTTGAAAGTATAACCTTTACAATTTGATTAAACTTGTTTCTATAATTTTTGACAGTCCCTATTCCCCTTTTGATATTAACAATTTTTATTAATCAAATTTCTCAAGTTTTTCTGTCCAGAATATATGCCTTCAGTAAGACACAACCCCCACTAAGCTTGTATAACATCTTACCAGTAGAAAAGCAGCCTTTTCAAATAAAACAAATACATTTAAAACATTGGTTTAAATAAAGCTTTGTATCTTTTAAAGTAATTATTTATTGAGCCAGGTGGCTATATATATATTTGCCCAAGGTTTTGTGTAAACAGACATTTAACATGGGTCAAGTACAAAGGCAGTTGTTCATAACAACATCACATCTATTACATATTTATAACCGTGTAAATCAACTTTGAAATTCGTCATGAACATTCACAGTGTTTCATATAATATATCTGTCTAGGTTTTGGTGCAAAATACCCAGCTGATTTTGCTGTAGGCCTGTAAAGCAGTAATATTAATAATTATAATATGAACAAATGGGCAAATTTTAATTTTGTATAACACTCATAAAAACACTTATTTT